ATGGTGTTTTTGACCACAGTTGTGGCATCCTCGAGCTCTGATGCACAGTTTAAACAAGCTTTTTTCTGCTTTAATATGTCACAATTTCCAGCTACACTTAACATTTTTGTACACTTCACCGCAGGGTGCTCAGTGGACTCACAGTAAATACATCTTTGATGACGCTTATGTCCATCTCTGCCATTACTAAGTAATAGTTTGTCCTGGTTTTGCCAACCGAATCTCTCACTCTTCCGCTTATCTTTGTTCTTTCTGTCTTCATTACGCAATGGGTGCCGATCCACATATTTCCTCAGGTTCTCTACAAGTTGTTTCAGATCCCAACTTTCCCAGTCATCATCTTTCTGTACCAGGACTTCTTGAACGGGTCCCAGCTTATCCATAAGGGTATAAACTGCTGATTGGGCAGATTCTAACTTATCCATAGTAGAGAGTGTTCTTACAGTTCTTGACAGCTTGTTGTGAAAGTCATGGATCGATTCAAGGTTGTGAATACTTTTTATTGCATGTAGTGTCTCCAGATCTTTAATCAATGCCCTGTGAACTTTAATGTTTTTACCATAAGTCTCGTTAAGTATGCGTTTAGCTTCATTGTAACCATCAATTGAATGTGGCAAACCCATGATGTCATCTCGAGGTTTGCCCTTGACCAACTCTATTAAGTAGTGAAATTTACTAATTTCGGAAAGATTTGACTCATCAACTTCTACCTTAAACTGATTCCAAAAACGAAGCCAATCTTTGTAATCTCCAGAAAAAGGTGTGATGGTATATCTTTGCAGCTTCACTGTGGATGTTGATTTTTTAAAAGCATTACTCCCTTCACCAGTGTTCTCATTTAACTTCTGTAGTTCTAGCTTTCTCTGTATCCATTCTTCCTCTGCCTGATGTTGCCTCATGATTGCCGCTTCTGTTTCCCGTTGGTAATTTTCTCTCAATTTCGCTTTTTCAATGCTCAACCGCTTTTGTTCCTCAAGTTCTGTTTGCAACTGTTGTTCACGCCTATGTTTTTGTAATTCCCCAAAATGTGCTTTGCATTGATCCCTTTCTTTCCGAAATTGTGTAATACAGTCCTTTTGTGCCATCGACCACTCTTTTATGTAATCCACATCTCTGTCGCTATCCATTAAATGTTGTAAAGTTTGATCCTTTGATGCTTCCAGTCGCTTTATTGATTGTGTTATTTTCTCGTGGGCAAAAGCCACATCTTCCAAATTATTGGCGCCTCCTAGTTCAACAGCTTCTGCAAGCTTGAGTTTTTCCAAGGTAATACATTTGTTGTGTTTGGCTTCACCGTCCATGTTTGTTTACTAACAACTCAAGTTGTAATGTCCGCTTTGCAAATTTGTATTGTTTCGTACTTTAATTACCATTTAGCGCAATATTTATAGGTCCAGTACCCTCTAGCGCAATATGGCGCCACTGTAATAATGTTTCCTATTGTTTCCTCTCACATTTCACATCAATATATTTCAAATATTGTAAACAATATATATCCCAAATGTCGCATACCCTGTATAATCTTGGTCCAACACTAACCTGTATATCTGTTGATAGAAACTCTTTTTCCTATCTCGTTAAAGTTGTATGATATCACATATTAAAACACCGTCTGATTTTGCTCGGAATTTTGTCTCAAACTTCGTTGAAAATCTAATCCTTATTTTGCGTATTTCCTATATCCTGCCGGGGTCGCCACCTTCAGTGTGGGGAATGGTCCCAGAGACACTGAATAATTCACACCTGATCACTTCACTTTGTTAAAAATATTTATAGATATAATAATATACAAAAGGTTTTCTTCTATGAGCTCACTCGCTCGCTCCGTGAGCAAAAGACAAAAGCACATGTTATTGTTCTATTCCATAAATTAACATAATTAACTATAAATGTCAATTCCAGTTCCCGTGCTGTCTCACAGTTTCTAACAATTCGAAATCGCATATAGTGATGTGCCTTAAATGTCTGTGAAATACGAACAAAGTAAACACCAAAAAACGGCTTCACATTTAATGAAACTGGCATCAATAAAAAGTTTGGATAACACAGATTCCAAATATGTAATTTTTATCCTGGCTTAAATTCGTTGTCGAATGTCACAGCTCCTAAAATGCAAATGTCTGTCAGCCTGACATTCGAAATCGCATATAGTGATGTACATTAAATGTCCATGAAATACGAACAAAGTAAACACCAAAAAATGGCTTCACATTTAATGAAACTGGTATCAATAAAAAGTTTGGATAACACAGATTCCGAATATGTAATTTTTATCCTGGCCCAAATTCGTCCTCGAATGTTACAGCTCCTAAAACGCAGATATCTTCCAGCCTGACATTCGAAATCGCATATAGTGATGTGCCTTAAATGTCCGTGAAATACGAACGAAGTAAACACCAAAAAATGGCTTCACATTTAATGAAACTGGCATAAATAAAAAGTTTGGATAACTTAGATTCCGAATATGTCATTTTTATCCTGGCCCAAATTCTTCCTGGAATGTTACAACTCCTAAAACGCAAACGTCTGTCAGCCTGACATTCGAAATTGCATATAGTGATGTACCTTAAATGCACATTGAAATACGTGCAAAGTAAACACCATAAAACAGCTTCACATTTAATGAAACTAGTATCGATAGAAAGCTTAGATAACACAGATTCCGAACATGTAATTTTTATCCGAGCTATAAAATTTATTCACTACAAATAACAGATTGGTAGTGAATAATAAATTCTGAATGTTTTAATTCAAGATGTATATGTCTTTCTACATACATAAGCATAAGCAGCATTACCCAAAAGGCCTCTCAGATTTTAATCGCCAATTTAATATCACTGTAATCAACACATCACAAAAAAAATTAACGCACTTTCAGTTTCAGGTACATTTCAACATCAAACAAAAATTAAAAAGGACACTCTCTTAAAGTTTACTGGCCTTCCAAACCATATGCTTGCTTTGCATTAAACATGATAGCATCTAAAGTATGGTTCTTCTCGACTGGCGTTCACCTCGATCTGGTTCAGTCATGATACACAAATCTGTCATTTCACATTTTACCAGAACAAGTAAGAATCGGCAATTCACAGTTCACATTTGTAAGACCATCTTGTTTTTTACTTTTCTTGTTTTTTAGACTGTCACCTCCATCTCCAAAAGAACTATATTTTTAAATTAAATTTGGTGTAAAATAGGTGAACAAAATACAGCATTTGTTTCCAATTTTTTTTATACTCTTTCCCTATTGGTCATCATTGACGTTGAAATAAATAAGACCGGAACGCTACTTCACTTTAGAGAACGAAAGAATTAAATTTTAATCTCGCTTTGACCCGCAGTCATAAGTGGGAATCCTAACACATTAACACCTTCGTCCACCTTACTTATCCTATTGGATGGTTAGGTGTTAGCTCTGTCGTTCATGGGAGGTGTGGCTTGGAACGAGTACCGTTACTTGGAGCCAGGTTGAGATCCCTTCGGCATCCCAAGCTGGACACCCCCCCCCCAACGAACGGAAGGAGGAAGTGCGCAAAAGGACAAAGAAAAAGAAATTTACTTATCGCACTTTGGCACAAGCTGTTGCTGTAAGCGTTATCGTTCGTTCGCAGATGGGTTGTTAATGCCCTCTGCGGGCTCTGCTCCGCGCCTTCCCGCTCGCCCCTCCCCTTCGGTCACGTGGTCTGCCTAACGTCGCGACCCAACGTCACTAAACCGGTTTCCTTTATGTTAACCTTGATTATTGCAATACCCTATTAAACACAATGAGGACTTGTAATACAAGTACGCGGGATTTGACTCCCAGTCATATGCGTGTGTCGGTAGCGTTCCAGTTAAAAAGCTTATGAATGTACGAAATTGTGACCGTAAGACAACCATAATTATAACGTCAAGTATTCTCCGCGCAACATTTTAATGTTTACTATGTTCTTTATATACAATCAAAGAAATGCTTGTGACAGTTTGATTAAGCTCTATTATCAAAGAATAAAATTAAAAAGCGTAATTATAGAGACAGAACCACATGTAAGTGTAACATTTGATCTAAGTACATTCTTCGTCATCTGAGAGGTCTAGAACGAGGGACAACTCTTCTTCATACTCTTCTTCGTCTAGATCATTGTCACCATCACTGTCACTGTCCAACATTTCAAGTTCTTCTGATTCAGGTGAAATTCCATTCAAACGTTTCGTTGTTTCAAAAGTATATTCGAACTGTGGTAAGGAAGATTGGACTTCGACAGGGAGATTGTCGCTTAAGATACAACCGAGGGCGTAAAGTTTATTATTTTCCTCACGAATTTGCTTTTGAACGAAACAGTTAACGGCTTTGATATAAAGAGAAGTTTCGTCCATATGTTAAGCCAGAAACGTTTCCAACATAGATATTCTGTTTTTGTAATACTTCACATGTCTTAGCATTTCCACATTCAAATATGATACCTCTTTTTTACATCTTTCAGTCAGGTGATACAGGTCAATCACGTTCCGCTTTACAGAAAATGGTACACCATTTAGCCCGTATGAATTTCCTCTGAAATCTTCATATATACCAGACTGAGGATCCTTCACGTCATCGAATTTCAGTATTTCGGGCATTCCTTCAATTTTCTCCTTCCAGGAAGACAAGGTAGCATTGTATTTTCTCCACAGAGACTTTGATTGTGTTAGTCTTTTGTTTTATCTGTTTAGACAACTTTGCTGCTATCGCTTGTCCATCTAACAGAAAACGAAGTATGCAACATAATAGTATATATATAGTACAAGATTATAAAATTTCAGTGTTGTTTGTATCCAGGGAATTTTCAAAACTTTACTTCTAACTATTCTAAGCCATTACAATTTAACAACTCAAATATTTTCCACATTTTTTATGCCAACTTAACATACGGCAACACAATGATGTAAACAGGTTGCTCATATTCTGGCTATTGGCCATTAGAGCCCTACCTGTGTATTTCTGTTTTAGAGACAACAAAAACATCCGTCCAACAGCCAATGCATATATCCGTTCGATTGTACGCTCTCTCCTTGTTTTTTCAACAGTTAGAGCGGCAAAATTAAACATTGCCTCGCCAAATATCCATCTTTGCTTCATTTTCCGACTTTTCTCGATTGACACAATAGCTTTCAAGGTGCTATAAAAAAAATCGTAATACATTACGATTACGAATATAATGAATTACTCTTCAAATGGGTTATTTTTACTCTGTGGAAGAGATGTTACGACCCTTTCAAAGGGTAGAATCACTCCTTTCCACTTTTAGTTTACTCCAATAAGGAGCTGCAATGACCCTTCTGGAGTTTGAAACTACCCTTCAAGTTAGTTATTTTTACTCTTTCGAAGAGTTGAAACGACTCTTTTGAAGGGTAATTTGGTTACCCTTTGAGGGGTCAAAACTACCCTTTGTGAGGAGTAGATTCTACTCTTTCGAGGGGTAACCTATGAAGGGGCCAAAACTACCCTTTTGAAGAGGTAGTCCTGGGGTCAAAAAAACTACCCCTTTTAAGGGGTCAAAACTACCCTTTTGAATTTACAGTGTAAACGTTAAAGGGAGACATATGTACATGTAGTATTAAAAATTGCACTATTTAAAATACATTTTTAAAATACTAGAAAATTTTGCTCTATTAAAGGCAATTTTCCATTATGTTCGTTCCTTCTGCGCGGGTGAACGCCCTCTGTTTTTAGAATTCGTCACACCCACAATAGCAAAATTTCAAAGGTCCTTCGCCCGCGCGGGGAAAGCAAACGTAATGGAAAACAGTCCTAAATTATACTAACGCTTTTCGTTTCTTCACAAGATCTGTTATGGTCTCATGCTTGTCGGATTCTGCGGCTGCAATGTTATGTCTTAAAATAAATAGTGAAAACTGAACGAACTGTTAACTGCATATGTATACAGTAATTATACACTGATGTCCAAACCTTAACTCCTCGAGCTAGAATAGATTTTGAACATACTTGGCCTCCCAAGACAACGGCAACACTTTGGTTTCTGTGGGAATTATACATGGTAAATTACATCTTGAGAAAGGATGTATGTACTGTAATGTACTGTGCAAGTAACAGAGCAAGTAGTACCAATTGAGCTGGTGTAAAAAATGAATCTGCAACTTATATGCTTACATCTACGCAAATAATGGTTCTTATGTACCATAACTTACTTTCTCGCGTAATCAACACATTCTGTTCTTCCTCTGTCCATAATTTCACCAAACTATCATCATATTCAACAGTATTACAGTATTTGATATCTACATTGTCGACGACTAGTCGTGTTAAATTTGTTTCACATTTTACAATTTCACGTAGATACACACAACTCAGCTCAAGTCAATAAGGCAAGTTATTTTTTAAAAATTGTCAACTGAAATCAAATATACAGTGTACTTTCAACTACCTCAATTTCAGACAAAAAGCTTAGTACAGAATCAAGCCTGACAGACTGAATATACTGTGCCTAGAAAGGTTTAAAGTATTACCGACCTGTTAACTTAGAAAAAACGTCTTGAAGTTGCTCGATTGCATTTTCCATAAGGTTCTTTGCCTTCCGTAAATTCGAGATAAACGAAGGCCCTGAAGCGAAATATCAATTCATATACATATTAGACAGTCTTGCAGTTTTGTGTCCAGTAAACTATGTGCGACGATTAAGAATATAATTGTTCCCCAAAAAGATTCGCCCGTTACAGGTATTGCATAAATTAATATACAGCTACAGGTCAAACCAAATTGCTGTAGACGCTTTTGTGCGTAATGCAACAACGCATCGCAAAACATCAATTCTACGTCCACTGGTCATCTCTTTTGTTATGGACGAAAATCCTCGTAGATAAGACCAAAGGCGTTCAATTCCCTCGCCGTCGGTTAGACCATAACCTCTGTTCCTCCGGGGACTAAATGAAATCTGCAAAATTAGAAAAGCATCACATAAGACATTAATATTACAACACTATAATGAAACCTGGCAACTTTCGCTGTGCTAAGAATATAAAAATGATTGATAGCCAATGATAGACAGTACCAAGTAATTTATTAATGCTATGAATGTCCATTAGTATACCAGTCGTATAAACCTGACAGGAAGCTTTATGCCCGTAACAGTGAAACACGGGAATTGCCAAATCAATTCTGTCCAGAATATCTTGCCTGTTTTTTTTCTAAAATTGAATATTTATTTATTTATTAAAAAATCATGCAACTACCTTTAGAGTAAGCAAACTAAAAAATGTCAGTTTTCCATGCATTTATCACATATCATCGTACTGTACCTTCAAATGAGCTGACAAGGTACAACCAATGTCATACGTAATTTTCACATTAGTGGTAGCATCTGAATTACTAAGAAGTCAATCAACTTCAAACACAGAATATGCAATTCTAAATAATATTAAAATTGCTAATCTTGTATATTTATCAACAAGGAAAACTACTAGACTACGCGTATAATAAACTCACATAGAAGACATGTGAAAAAAATTGTATTTATGGAGAAAACTACTGTACCGTTCGCCATGTTTCATGTCGATGAAACCTTTAGGGTATTCATGTCTACACACTCTGCCAAATACTCCCTTTTCGTCAAACAGTGCATTTCTCCCTTTTGATCGTAACATATTATTTACTTCCCCAGATTTAAACTCATTACAGTCCTTTAAAAAAGGCATAAAATGTATGTTCCTTTCAGTTATTCAATTATCATACTGTACATGTAAACCCATTTAGTGTTTAACCGTGTAGCTTAATGCATATTAATACAAACAATTCATCAAAAACGTACCGCTGGGGCTTCTTGTGCATCTTTTTAATAGTCCAAAACAAATTCATCCACACGTTCTTGGTCTGCAAACATAGTAGTACCATGTCTTGGTGGTAAAAGAACTGTCCCAGCTGACTTCTTCCTTACTAGCCCGAAACACCCATCCATCGATTCGATTACTAGATTTTGTGTTTCATTATCATTTCCATTCTACATGTAAAAGACAAGCATGACTATGTGGTTGGTGCCTGATTGCAGTTATGAAATCATATTAAGATGTAAATGGTGTAAAACAAAACCAAGCACATAAGGTTTACAGTACTGAGTACTGTGCACATACAGTATTTACATTTCAATTACAGTTATTCTGATTGTCATCTTATTGTAACTTAAAATGTAGTCAATGTGTTCCCACTACAATTTTACTTATCTTATACTACACAATTTAGTTTACTTCCAGTTAAATGGTTATAAATGTAGTCCAGACATTTTAGACAAAATACTTAGGTGTAAGGCAAAAAAGTTGATAAGATGTTGCCTTTCTCAATAAAATGCATTGTTTGTAAATAGGTAACAAGGTACATACTGTAAATTAGAAAACACAAGTTTGCCATCAATTATACATTGTCCATTTCCTGACTTCCAAGCAATTCATTTGATCAATTCTTTGGAAATTTAGCAGGTTCTTCAAAGAATTCAAAACATCCTTATTTGAGTTGACCATTCAAAGTTTATACAGGTATTTTACTTTTGAACAATTCTGATTGGTAGGTACAGTAAAAGAGAAATTATGAACTTTTTATGGAACTTTTCAAAATCTCGAGGAAATGATCAAATGTATTGCTGAAATCTAGGAAAAAACAGATCAACATTTTTCAGAATGCTTCTACAGTACCTGTATTGCCCTGGCTGTAAAATTGTTCATGAGGAAATTAATTGGTTAAAAGACTATTACCTGAGGGCAAAGTGGGCAAATAGTTTCACACAGCTGATCATTTACTTTTTTCATTGACTTTATCAAGTATTGATGGTATCTGTTACAACATAAAATTTTGGGCTAAATTGCAGAATACCCGTCCACTAGTCATGGAAATGATGTAGCCACTATTTCACTGGATACACGGATACGCAGTCGAAAATTGTAAAGCAATGAATAGGTCAGCGGTAACTCGTTTTTTTATGATGGGTACTTCATTCTTCCACAGATATATAGAACTAAAACATTTACTGCATAAATTTATGCAAATGTAGCAGAATACCCCGCAATTTTTTAAGGGACGCGGTAATACAGCATAAAAAATACATGACGTAATATAAATGTAGGTATTAGTTTAAGTGGATACGCGGATACGCAGTCGGTTAATATTCTAAAGTTCATCGACCTTAAATCAAAGACGCTCGGTCGAGCATGCCGATTCCTAGTAAAACTTGGGGAATGTCATAAACAAATTGTGAAGATCAAAAAAAAATATTAAAGTTTCTATGTATATAATATGCGCTTTCTAGTCTTAACTTCATATAATAATACCAAATTATGAGGTAGTATAAAATATATTAAATTGTAACACTGTCAGTTTTGTAAATCATTGGCTACTCACTATTCCAATCTATTCCAGAAAAAACAGTAAGGATATCAATAAATTATGTTTATCATTCATTTGAATACAGTTATTTCATGCCTGCAATGCGCGGTAATGCCATCCAAGAAAACGTATTTATTAAAATTCAAGTCAAAATAAAACCATTTCTTCAAAATGGCTAGTCCACTGAAATAAAATCCACTTAATTTAATTAAGCCGGCGAATGGTCTTGTTTTGCTCCCAATAACACGATGTCATCATCCATTCTGCAGCAAAACAAGGTGGACACCCATTTCCCACAAGAAACAGTAATAACTTAAAACATTCCACGTCGCAAATAGGTTTTTTCCAAAATATTAATTTCATGTCTTGCGGCCACAAAGCCAGCGAATAGAAAATATCGCCGTCTATAAGCTTCAGTAGAGTATGTCTTCTCTCTGATATTGCCTTTGCTGTCGCGGCGCCCACGAAGTCTTTGAACTTGAAAATATCAAAATCCATTTCACTAAATCTACTTAAAAAAGTTTGAAAAACTTCCAGGTCGTTAATTCAAATACTTTGTTTGTGAAGCGGGATCATTTAATTAACACGTTCACAGAAGTGGCAATCACATCAACCGAAACTTCTCCACTTGCCTGTTACTCAAATTACAAACGACCGCATACCACACGTATCCGCGTATCCACATAAACTAATGCATACATTTATATTACGTCATGTATTTCTTATGCCCTTACTATCATATGCCTCGTTCTTTAAAATATTAACCGATTGCATATCCACGTATCCGCGTTTCCACTTAAACTAATACCTACTTTTATATTCGCAATCTTAAATTTATAAATGATCGTGATCACAAACGGTTTGCGGAAATTTGCATATAAGCTTCAGTATCAGTATGAATAAAATCTAAACTTTCACTAGTTTTAAATAGAAACTATATACTGAAGCAAAATCAAAATCTCTTTGAATCTACAATGTCTGTAGTCATGCATGAACATGCACAAATTTTAGATATTCTCATAACTAACTGTTATTTCAATTAGCGATTTTTTTATTCAAAATATATGCATAATATCCTTGTTATACAAGGGGAATAATGACATTTATATATTTTCAAACATTATAGTACTTAGCCATTTACATAATTACAGTATGGATACACTTTAAAAATTTCCATACATCTTTTTAACGTCTACAAGAAATCTTAAAAATAGGTCACTTCCTTTGTGTTCATAACGCCACAAGAACTCTGCCAAGTGGGACGAAAACATGTATTTTCGTGTGCCAAAGTCAGGCATCTTTGTCTTTGCTTGTCGCCAATGACCTTCTATCTTGTTTGTATGATCGCCATCAGTGTTAACAAACTCTTTTGAGTGATTAACACACTTATGAACATATCCATGCTTCTTCAGGTTCACATACGCTTTCCAGCAGTCTGAGACTATCATGCTACCTTCGAACATATCCATGCTTCTTCAGGTTCACATACGCTTTCCAGCAGTCTGAGACTATCGTGCTACCTTCGGCTATGTGATGCTTTATTAATGGCAACAAGGTCTCCTCGTCACGTTTCTCAACGGCTACCATAAAACTTCTTCGAGATTCTTCTTCGATTCCCCCAAATACCCATTGCCCTTCAACTTTATGTCCTCGATGGTATGTCCTCGATGGTATTTTCTCTTTCCAAACTTGCTTTCGTCGATTTGAACAGTCTTTCCTGGTCCCCCGATCTTTTCTTCTCTCTCTAGAAGTGTGACTTCGCAAATCTCTCGACAAAAGCTATCCCAATCTACTGCCGTATGTTCGCTTATGTTGACTTCGTGCCGAATGTTCTCTTGGCTCACCCCTCTGCACCACCAGTATGTTAATTTCACAATTTCTGCAAGGGTCAGGTTGCTTTCCTCGAACCAACTGTCTTTTCGAATCGACATTTCAACCCTGTGTCGCTTCCCGTCAATTTGCCTCCTGCATTCCCACTTTAAACCGTCCGATCTGTCATTTGCGTTTACTAATTTCATCATCTCATTGCAATGTCCGCATTTTCGACTCCCGGCTATTAACTTCTCATCCATAAGCCAGCCAATCAGTTTATCCTTATTACACAAGATTTCTTCTTTGAGACGGTCATAAGTCCACTTATTATTTGTTTTGTTTTCCCGGTATTTCTCGTAGCTTTTGCCCTCGCCAAGGTGTTGTGTAGCAGCATCTTGTTTTGCAAACGTAGTCCACTCGGTCTGTGATTGTGAACTCGTTCTATTCGTTTTCTGCCTTCTTGCACACACTTGTATTGCCTTATCCATGGATGTGCTTAATTTTTTCGCTGCTTGATCTAAATGTTGTCGTTTCGCTTCGAGTTTGGCGTCCGAATGCTTTCAAAATGCAAGTTATCAAAATTTAAAGCGTCAGTTTACAAGGTATCCGTTTACAACTGATGCACTACACCTACCATGCTCGATCAATCAGTTTCGTTAAATTTGCGTAATTTCTCATTATTAAGTCGCTCGTATTTTTCTTTTTCACTAAAACTAGACATGATTGCAGAAACCCCAATGCGTGTGGTTAATTAGATAGGTTTAGAGTAGGGTCAAAGTAAACAAACAATTAAGGAGTTATGGTTGACCCGGATAAAACGTATCATCTCAAACCATTAAGCGGCCAAAATCGTCACACCGGTCAAATTTTTTTTCATGCGTATAAAAGAAGCGCACATATAACCACTTTTTAACAATTCCATTCCATCGATTTGCAATAGTTGCTTACCCTATTGTTTACAAGAAGTGGGACACTTTGTGATTATTTAACGTCGTCTATATCAATTGTATTTTAAACTATATGCATTGTTCTAATATAGCTTAGATTTTCTCTTTTCAATGTAACTTGCATTTTTCAGCTTGTCTCTGCAGACCGTCATTCAAGTATTATTAATTACTAAATAAGCCGGTAGCTACACCACGTAAGTTTAAATACTGCAAAGCCCTCATCAGTGTAATAGGAAGCCCAAATGATGAAGGCCCGGTTTAACGGACTCAAAGCTTTGCAGTATTTACGTGGTGTACCTATACAAGCTAATTTACTTATTTTGCAAACTCACAAGAATATCATTTTTAATTATACTATTACTATTCATCTGCGATATTATGTCATCATAGTGTTGCATCAAAATTAAACACAAAGGAATTATCATGTTTCTCAAACTTGACAAATTCTTCATCCGCGCCTTCAGCCGCTATTGCCGATTTGCCGCCCCCAGGTGTTAATACCAGCCGCGGCTGAAGTAATTGTCTTCAAACGTTAACACCTATACAGGCTAATTTACTTATTAATGTCACCGTGCAAACTCACAAGAATATCATTTTTAATTATACTATTACTATATTCATCTGCGATATTATGTCATCATAGTGTTGCATCAAAATTAAACACAAAGGAATTATCATGTTTCTCAAACTTGACAAAATTCTTCATCCGCGCCTTCAGCCGCTATTGCCGATTTGCCGCCCCCAGGTGTTAATACCAGCCGCGGCTGAAGTAAGTGTCTTCAAACGGTTCCGTTTTTGAATGTTGCCCGACATATATTCGTTTTCATTGATGTTTTTTAAATAGCCCCTTCAAATTGATGTGTTTTTCTTACACTTAGCGTAATCGTTCATTTTCAAACAATTACGCAAATAACGATGAACGCATTGAGATGCATTTCACACCTCTTGTGTGGCTCTTCACATGCAGTTATCCCATTAAATTCAATACACTATATATGTCTATTCAAGTTTTTCTTAATTATGATTAACAATGTTACAACACAACGTTCAATTTCGAGCAACAATATTTCTTAATGCTGTGTGTGGCTGAAAAGTCTATTTTTCTTAGCGACGCTAATTACTCATAATCTGTCAAACACCGATGCCGCTTAGGTGGAACATTACACCGTTATACTACACCATGACGGTGCCGCTCCATGCACATAAAATGCGCAAGCAAGACGTGTTTGGTCACTTTGTTTTTACAACCGAACTCTACCCGCGATATCAGAAAATCGAAATGGCAACCTCGAATCCCATCACGAAAATCGGACGTCAGCATGAAAAGACATGGTCCCGTCTTCAGAAAAGATTGTCGACTGTACCTTCGATTACTCCAGAATCATGCCGGATAATATAATCACTTTCCTGATCCATAAGGCCACAAGTGTCAACAGCTGCCTTGACTATCTCCTACCGACAATCCTTGCCACTGTCTCCTACCTATTGAGCAGAGCAAAAGTTACCGTTTCAACAGTGAATCGCGATCAATCCACAAGCCTTTACACGATATTCGTCGGCTACCCTGGCACCGGGAAATCTCCTGCTATTGAACATGGCTGTATCAAGCCACTTCAAAGTGTCCTGCGAGACGACGTTAAAAACGGCCTTCTTGACCGAACAACTTCCTCCGGTTTGATCAAACATCTCTCCGTT